AATTTTTGAGCAATAAAAAGATGGGTGGAGATGTGTAAATATTTTGTTGTTCGTTGCAAAGGTTTCACTTTTTCGATGGTATATTTCCCGGGGGATGGTATCCGAAAGGGTTTACCGCCAAGCGCATGGTATCCAAAAGGTTTTCTCCATTGCTGGACTCATAGCCTATCTGAGGAGCCCCACCTTCTTAGCGTTTATCTCAGTCTGCTGTACTGAACTTTTCAGTACAGTACATGTTTCATCCTCATACAATCACAGTACGGTATCTTACGGTACCCTATTGATTATGTGATGCAGGTATGTTAATAGTATCATACCGTACATGCACGATATATAAAAGTACCGGTATGGCAGTATTACAGCCGGTCAACACGCTCTGGATGGGATCGATTGGTAATTGCCCATTGTATGACACCGTGCTGTTATGATGCCCCTACCCGTACTAATTATAATGTGTCGTATGATACCGGTACCGTAACCCATCCCCAGTGATTTCCCCAACCCGAACGTGTTCCACTCGGCCATCAGGCCAACACAAATGTCATTCCTGGTACAGTACGGTACCGTACACTACGGCATCCCAAAATTTCTGTGACACCAGTACAGTGGTGCAAGTACAATAATAGTTACCGACCTATGCCAGCACCGGTAAGATTCATGCCCGATTCTAACTCTCAATTCCCCCACCCTGGAGGGGAAAACACAATCCTAACAAGCCACATTACTAATCCCCCCATGTAAGGCCTCCCGTTAACAACTATCACTAATGACGTCCGAATGCACATGATCGGTCGGACACGGATCCGTTCACCCAGTCCAAGAGCAGTCTAACCACCATGGCTAAACCTTGCTCAACTCGCGAGCATGATACAGTGCTGTCGTTGGGCCCGCAACCCGAGTCGCAAAACGATCCTACGGCTAACCTGGGAATGGACAGTGGTCCGGGCCAATTGGGTGGGGAACGAGTACGGCACTGCTAGTCAAGGTGCTGGCTGTCAACTACTCGCACTTGCACAGTAGGCTATTGATGAAGTGTGAGCATCATACTGTAACAAGTCGTTCGTACAGTGCCGTTTGCTTGGGCTGCCCCGTATCGAGATCTGGGAGCGGGTGCGATTGCCGCGGTATGCTTCACCCCTGTACGAGAACAGTACCGTACCGTACAGCACTTGCACTACAGGCTCGAGGCGTGGTCGGTCAACGAAGGATTAAATGTCAATGCCGTGTGGTGCGGTGCATGGAGGAAACCTCCGTCCTGTTGCAGCAGAGCACGGGTACGGTACGAGTACTCAACAATAACCTTCTGTCACGAGAATGATTGCACCTTGTCAATGTGATGATAAAAACTGATCATTCAACCAGCTTTTGCCAGGATTTTAAGCCTTTGCTTTTTTTTTTTCCCTCCCCCTTCCCCTTCCCCCTGAGATGAGATGTTTGAAATTGGACCACAAAGCCGACAGCACGGGTAGAAGAAAAGCCCACACAAAGAGAAAGAAATATCGCACGCCGGTTTCCGATCACTTTCCCATTTCGTTACACATGAGACATGAAAGCAGAGAAGGCGAAATACCCCGGGTAAGAAAGAGCAGAGAAGAGAGAATAGTTGAACCTATGAAACAGTAAAAGTGGCCCCTCCGGATTAAAATCTCAAGGAAAAAAGAAAAAAAATCAGAAATCAGAGGAACGCCAGAGATGGAATCTAAGCCTTTTCGCCTTCAACAGATGCATTGGTGGAATTGGAAAGGGTAGAGGCCAGCTCAGCCCCGTCCACAGCGACCCCGGGCTCCGCAGGTCCGTGAATCTTCTCGTCGAAAACGGGTTCGTCGTCGGGGGTCTCAAACTTGGACTTTACGTACATGTTCTCGATATGCCCCATGGAATTGGAGCGACGACGGGCCTTAAAGACGGTGTACTCGTCGGGAAGGTCCTGCAGTTCATCACCGGCGAGGCCCCTAAAATTTTGTCAGTGAACTATATTGGATGCGGAAGGTGACAGCCAACCAGTTGCCCTTTCCGCCTCCGTTCTTCTTGGTCTTGTTGGGAGCGGTGTCGACATGGCCACTCTTGCCAAAGAACTTGGGGATCTGATGCTCATTGAAGGCTGCTTCGGCCTCGGGATGGTTGTGGGGGATATCGTTGGCTTTCTGAGTGCGAGTCATGATTGTGAGCGAAGGGTGTGTGGAATCGGTTTGCAGGTGAGTAGCGGAGGATGTGAGAGGTTTCCTGGTGGAGGGAGTTTGCCGGTGGTAAAGTGAGGAAGGAGGGGGGGGGGGGGGGAATCGGTATATACGACTATTTATTCAGGGCGTCAACTTGAGTCGGACAAACTTTCTTGTTAGGAACAAGGGCATGGCAGGCGGGCAAGCTGTGCAGATGCGCAAGCTTTCCCCCGCGCCACCACCATCATCACCACAAGCCCCGCGTGAAGCAGCGACGCGGGGAGGGTGCGATGGAAGTGACGACAGGTACCCTATTAAGACAACGAAAACAGGAGGAGGAGGAAGGGGTTTGTAGCATCCAGGTCGACAAAGGACGAGGGGGGGGGGGCGGGAAGGGTTTCGGAATATAGAACTGGAAGAGCTTACCACTCGAAACGGTATCAGATACGAGTGAGAAAGAAAACAAAAAGGTTACAAGTCCACACGATAAGAACCAGATGTAGCAAACTCGAGCTTGGGGGTTTGGGAACTCAGGGGGCTTGAGCGATGAGAGGAGGGAGGGAACAAAGGGTGGGTCGGAATTGTGTATTTATACCGGGGAGGTTGTTAGCGCGCCACCACCACCCACCACCATCTGATGGTGGGGCCACACATAGTACGATAAGTCAATCAATTCCCCCGACCCAAGCCATGCCGGCACCACCCCTGGAAAGTGACGCTCAGCTCACTGGGTTCGTGCACGGAAAAGTACGGGGGAAGGGATGGGGGAGTTGGGAGGATCATAGATGAGCGCTAACTTGATCAAATAAGTTAATATCAGCAGCCATGACTTAATATTGCTTGTGGCATCGATGCGCTCCATGATCGTGCTGGCACAGGACCGGGTACCGGTGTGATGCTCCCCCCTCCCTTTGAGGGTAGCTATCGATGATGTACGGTATTGGAGCTCTTGTTTCGCCCGATTCCCTCGCTATTCGAATGTAGTGGATCAAAGAGCGTTCAACCCCGCCTCCTCCTCCTCCTCCTCCTCAGCACAGTAAAGTTAGTGAAAGCGTCACGCAGATGGCCCAGCACGAGACCTTTCCACTTTTAAGCTTTCACAGACCCGTTGGCTCCCACTCCAAGGGCTGCGGTAGACTACTATAGTACGCTACGGTAGGCATGCGAAAGACTGCCTTCTCCCCCCCTCCCATCCCATCCCCACACCTGCTCCCCGCAATCTCCAATGAACCCTGTCCTGCTTGCCGCACCCTTCACCCACCCAAATGCATTATCGGCCAAGAGAAGTAAAAGCCAGGTGCCACTACCAAACACGCTTAGCCGCGGAGGCTCCTCGAATGGCAACATGCAGAACCTGAATCTATGGTTCTCGACAATGTCAGGCGCTGTATTGCCGTGTTCGGCTACGAGTATTTTCACAGAAACCCTACGACTGCCGCGTGGGTATGAATGATAGCGTAGGATACCGCACAAGCCTGATGTGATCGTATTTATGGATCCGCAATCGTTTCGGCCTTTAACCCTTCCGCTCGGTCAGGTCAGCTCTCCGGCCTGCTTCTTTCGGGCGCGGTTGGGGAGAGCCCTATCGCCACGGTATCATGTAGATATGATGCCAGTACCCTACCAGTACCCGTAACTCATATGACGAACCTTGACCAACCCCACGGTCCATGCAAAAAAAAAATGGTCGAAACGCCCAGAATTTCTCCCATCCGCATAGATTCGTATGTCTAGGGCTCTTGCGTATCGTAATTCGCAGGATATGGATGTTTTTGTGCATTGGTTTTGTTCCGAATCACCTGACATGGGTATCTTCTCGCGGGCCAATCCCGACCGGCGTGCGAGAAGGAGGGCGCTTTACCGGTACGGTTGGCTGCAAAATGACGTCCGGATTGTTGCGCTGTTTCGGATTGAGATTACAGATTTTCGGGGTCATCCCGGGGCACACCATAGACCTCATCGGAATCATGAGCTGAACGATGGATTGGGGGCTCGGGGAGACCTGACCAGAAGACCGAGGGAAGTTGGTCTAACAGCAACCTTCATGATACCGTACCCGCTAAAGCAGATAGCTTCGGAATACCCTCAACAGTAAACCAAATATCCTCCCCAGGTATAATTCAATGCATAGGATGCCGCTGCGGGATAAATTTATAGAATGAAGAGGGAGAGCAGTCAAAACACTCTCGAAACACTGGTAGCAGTACCGTACTCGGGTAACGGTACCGGTAGGGGATTTTCGAAGCAGTCCTGGTCTCACCTCCTACCGTTGCCGTAACCCCACCCATTGCCGAGAGCTCCGCCACAGGGGCCACGTGACTGTCATGCCCATGAAGGCACCCTCCAACCGTGCTCTGTCATCAGCCATCGTACCGCCAGCCGCGTGGGGGACTCGCCTGCGACCTGAGGACCGCCGGTATTATACTTGCAGCTTGCATCATCGACATCATAAATCTACAACAACCTCTTCTCTTCTGCAGAGAACCCGCAACCCCACCCTTTCCTCTTCCCGAGTGACCAAAGCTGCCACCGTCCTTCCAGCGAATAATAATAGCGAGTACAAGCGCAAACTAAGCAAAGGACAAGCAAACTACCGCCACCACCATTAGCGATGTCGTTTGACCGTCTCCCCTCCCTCGAGGCGCAGCCAACAACCTCCCGCGCGACGGGCTACTCCGACAGCCCAGAGTTCGACCGTTTGACGACCCAGTTATCCTCGCAACTGTTCACCTTGACGAGTAACATCTCAACCTTGAACCGAGAACTGGGTCTCGTGGGCACGAAGCGGGATAGCGAGGCTCTCAGGGAGAGGGTCAAAAAGCTTCTTAATGAGACGAGGGCGGGCTTTAAGAGTGTTGGGGAGGGGGTTAAGAAGGTCCAGGATTGGCCGGATGTCTCTGTGAGTGCATTATATACCCTTTGAAGGGAAGGGGGGAGGATTTGGGCGATAATGCTAATAGCGCTGGATGTGATGGTAGCCGAGCCAGCGCTTTGTTCAGCAGAAACTCTCGCGGGAGATGTCTTCTACGCTTGCGGATTTCCAGACCATCCAGCGACTATCTGCGGAGAAGACTCGAGATTACGTCACTGCCGCCCGCCAAGCGCAGCATCTCTCTCATGACGAGGGCGTCCCGGCAGACGATCTAGCATACTCCTCCTCCAAGTCTGGAGGCCAGCAGCAGGTCCAGGTTCCGCTGGTCCAGCAACAACTCGCGCTGGCAGAGCAGAGCGAGGTGGACTTTCAGGAGAGCTTGATCGTCGAGAGGGAAGAGGAGATTCGAGGGATAGAGCAAGGGATTACGGAACTTAATGAGATATTTAGGGATTTGGGGACTATGGTCAATCAACAGGGCGAAATGATCGATGACATTGAGGTTTATGTGGGGAATACGGCTACTAGTACTAAAGCTGCGTGAGTGCTTTCTTGTCTGAGCTTCATTTTTTTTTTTCTTCATTGGGGAGTTGCTAACTTGTACACGGCGTGCAGAGATCAGGAATTGAGGCAGGCAGCGAGGTATCAGAAGGGCGCGAGGAATAAGGCCTGTTGTTTGCTGCTGATTCTGTCCATTATTCTGACCGTTGTGCTGTTGGCGGTACGCTCTCCCCCCCCCCAACATCCTCCCCACCACATACCCAGCGAGCTAACGTGTGACCAGATTTTCCTTGGTTGATTCGATACTATCCATCTCCTACCATCCTCAAACTATTTCCTCCTCCTCCTCTCTCTACCTCACATATCCTTCAATTCCTGGGTCGGAACTTGTGCGCCGGTATTCCTGTCGACTGTGGTTCCTTTCTCTCTTGCTTGTAGTTGGGTCATGGATTATCTGGAAACGATCGATTTTACTCTACTAAGCTAGTACCATACCGTGCTTGGTGCCGCGTTCTTTCGCTCATTCACCTCTCTTTTTTTCTTTTTCTTTCTTTTTTCTTTGTCGTCGTCGTCCCCAAATGTTGAATAAGTTTCCCATACAAAAGAGTCACGTCAGCCTGTCACACCAACCACATAAATACCGTACATATCCTCAGGTAGATAATTCAAGCCAACCCGATTGCCATCTCTATCCTTCCCTCCGCAATATATAAATCTACAATAGCACTCAAACCCCCTCACCCCCAACCCTCTTCAAGCCCTCCTCGGCCCTCCGAACCCCCTCCTCGGCCCCCATCGCCCTAGCCAACGACCTCGCCTCCAAGTACCGCTGCCTAGCCAACTCCCTATCGCCCAATATCTCCGCGAACTCGGCAAGATTGTGCGTCGCGACCGCGCATCCCAAATCGCACTCTTCGGTCCTATCCGGCGCTTTGATGGAGCTGGCCAACTTTAGTGCTTTCTGCGCCCACGGCGTGGCCGAGTCTGCTACTAGCTGTTCGCGGGAGACCGGCAGTGTGGGGGCGGTGGCTTGTTGGGAGAGTGTCGCGGAGAGGTTGTTCACTGGAAGGCGTTAGTCCTGGGTAGGGAGGGGAGGGGGAGGAGGGGGGAGAGAGGAACTTAGGACTACCGAGTGACAGTTGTTTGGCGGCATGTATTCCAATGCGTGTAGGTATAGGGGCGTTGCCAGGAAGAAGCGGTTTGTGGATTCGTAGACGCTTGCGAGAGCTTCCAGCAGGGATGACATTTCCGAGTTTGAGAGCCAGTCTTGGTGGGGCTGGATATCTTGTCCGGGGGTTTTCACAACTGGGAGCCTTTCCTCACCACCACCACCACCACCACCATCCTTCGGCGGGGGAAGAGGGGGAGAAGGTGGTGACTTACTGGCCTCCCTCACTGCCGTCTCAACAGCCCACCCAAGCGCCTCCTCCGCTTCGGCATACCGCCCCTTACCAACGTACACCTCCCCAACCCTCGCCGCGATCCCCACACCCCTCCTCAACAACTTCCTCCTGGCCCCTTCATCCACCTTCTCCGCCTTTGCTGCAGAAACAACCTCGTCTAGCACACCCTCAAGCACCTCAACGCCCCTCTCGACGAGCCCGTGGTGCAGGAGTACCCCCGCCAACTCGATTTTTATCCCCGTGACCTCGTCGCTGAGCGGGTCCATGCCTAGATCCCGACATTGCTCCAGCGCCAGGCGGAAGTGCTTCACCGCATCGCGGGGAGAGGAGGAGGAGGGTAGTGAGTAGTAGAGGGCTTTCCGCAGCTCTTTGGCGACCGGCTTTGGGTAAGAGTGTGTCGTGTCGGCGAGGTAGGAGAGGTAGTTGCTGTAACCCCAGAGGCCGAGGGTAATGCCTGTTGCTGAGCTGTTTGCCGTTAGTCATTGCGAGGGGGGCAGGAATTGGGAGGAGGACAAGAGGATTGCAAGAAGGGCCATGAGGTGGTTTCGGTTCCAGCCGTTTGGGAGGATGCCTTTCCCGGAGCCTCTAGAGGAGGAGGAGGAGGATTGGAGGCGGGTTTGTGTTAGTAGTGGTAGTGCTCGTTGGTGGTGGAGGGGTCGGAGGGGTAGTGAGAGCAATCGGAGAAGGCATTGTGGCTGTGGAGAGGGTCGGAGGGACCTTGTCAATGCTCGGGAGAGCATTTTAGAGGCTGTGGAATGTGTTGGTGTTGGGTTGTTATGTTCGGGTTTGCTGGAGGTGAGTTGCTAAGCTAAAGAGCCGTGATCTTCCTGTGACGTCGTGCGCACGGACCAAGTGGGATGATTGGGGGAATTTCAACTTTAACCAAAAGCACTCGATGGCGATGGCCGTACAAGCAAAGGATGGGGGGTTAATCCCATATTTACCAAAGAGAGGTGTTTTAGCTACTCATGATTTTCTAGTCAATGCATACTCCAATTGATACTCAATTCCTAGCCCTTCAACCGTCCTTTTGATCCCTGCAAAGCGATAATACCATATTCCAGGACTCATCGTGGGCACGGACGCATAAGCCGTACTCACGACCCGCTGGAACCCATCGACACTAGCATTAGGGAGAGAGAAAGTGATAAGCTGGCACATTCCCCAGCCTCTCCCGCTTTCATCAGTTCTCCCTGGAAATGACACTGCTACGCGCTACATCTCCAGCTTCCCATTGACGAACTTCACAAGGATACAGCCCAGCGATGAACAGATACCCATATAAAAAACGTAACTGGGACGCCGTAACCGACGATATTCGCTACGAGCGAGCTCTGACCCAAAATATCAGAATTCAAAGCTACGCCACCTCCCCTACAGCTCCAGAAATCAGCTGCGAGGTGCGTGGGTCGACCGGCGCCAAGTACACGGTGTACCTCAGCACACAGAACGTCCCGGACTGCTCGTGCCCGGACTGCGGGAATGGGAATGTGTGTAAGCATATCTACAACGTGGTCGACGAGCTTCTCGACGGGCGGGGGGTCAGCGATGCTGTGTATGAGGAGTGGGATATGCCCCTAGTTGCATTGGCGAAGTCAGCACTGGAGAAGAAGTTTGGAAGGAGTAGTAATAGGGTGCGGAAAACAGCTGCGCCCATACCCGCACCCGTACCCGCGCCCGCCGCTGCAGCTCTAGCACCCCCACCGACAGCTCCGGCCCGGCTACCGGCTCTGGCGGCCCAGTATCCCGGCCTTGGCCCCGCTGCTCCCCCGAATCCAATCCAGCAAGGCTCACCATACCCAAACATTGAAGCAGAAGTTGACGACCTCCTCCCGCACACAAATATTCATACCTTCCTCCGCGGATTAGCAATCACAAGCCCACCCGTTCTAGCCGTTCTCCGTGCGGAAGCAATGCCCCGCGTGCATACCCTCGACTTTACAAACTTCAAAAATCAAGTCTTGCATATCGTGCACACCATCGATAACGTCCCTGAGCCCGCGAGGGCGGTCGTCGTTAGAGGCATTGAGGATCATCTGTGGGGGTTTCTTAACGAGATCAAGACAAAGACGACGAAGCATACCCCCTTCAGGGCAAGGTCCACCGGATTTGAGGTATGCTTGATGGTTCTGAAGGGTCTGGGAGAAGTGGGTGGTGTGTTCTTGAGACAGAATGGACTTGTAAAGAGCGCTGTTGAAGTTATGATTCATCTAGATATGAAGGGGGATATGGTTAGGAAGTTTGATAGGGAGGTCATGTGGTGGGTTGGAATGTACTCTAATATTGAGGGGGGATTGTTTGGAAGGTTGATTAGGGAAAGGGGGGAGATTGTTGTTCTAGAGTGAGCGATTGAGGACGAGAGATCTTTACCTACTTGGATACATGTATAATGGGGGACTAGCTACTTTGGCCTTGGGTCTGTCTCTTTCCCTCAGTTGACAACGACAGTCAAGGAGATAAGGGTTATGTTTTTCTTCCTTGTATCATAACATACAATTCGTTTCACCGCTTACCAGCTCTAATCAAATCACCACAGCGAAACAATAGACAATCTTTTTTTCCGATGCCGTCGCCCTCTTCCCCCCCCGGTAGTCCCGGATTCCACAGCCCTACCAGGGATCACAATATATTCACAAATTATCCTCCACAACTAGCAACACCAGCCGTAGCAAGTTTCTGCCCCCATTGTCAGCTCCTTTTAACGGGCATTCTCTGACATTCTTCACCTCCCGGCCACTGCAGACGGCGGTTGAGTTACACCGTACCGGATGTCGACCACGCTATGCAAAGCCTTATCTGAAAACCCTTAAATCCAAGTTCCTTGGATCGGCAGGGCATAAAATCCGACAGGCGCAACCACTAATGGAAATGAAGAGCTGACCGATGCTAAGGCCTCGTCCATGGAGTTGATATTCTTGGGCGGGCCCAAAAGGCTACGTTGAACCATCGCGATGTTGCCCTGGTCCCAAACTCCAACCCCGTGACAGCGTAAGGTTGTAACGAGCCCCTGTGCGTAAAAACCACTGACCCCCACAGAACAAGAGTCTTACCACTACTCGAGTATGATATATGATACACAACAAGCAAGGGAGTAGCATAGTCTACGTGTTCCGTCCAAAACTACACCAACAAACGTTCAGCCTCGTCTCGAAAAGCGGGGCTAGATGCACCGAGTGAGCGGATATGATTGGATCTATGGCAGTAAGGATGGGCGAAATCCATAACGCGTCCGGCGCCAGTTCAGATATATATCTGTCATACTAGCAATCTTTGCGTGTATCCCTCCCCCCGCCTCCCTTTTTTTTTTACACCCCGAGAACTTCCAGAAGGCGACTTTTCTTCAGGATACTTGCACGAATGCCGCAGACTTTATCCGCCGAGAAACTGCACAGTACTACACAAGGGTTTCAATCAGCAATGTCCTTTACCCACCTTTACCCCACTATCCGCACTGTGCACTGTGCACTAATCGGAACTTTACCTGCTCGGTTAGGAGTTCATTCACAGGCTAATGGATGTTACAAGTGGATAATGGGGATAGTTATGTGCTGGTAGGATGATGATGATGATGGTGGTGATGATGATGATGGGTGGGGACTAGTATGCAGGCAGGTGTTTCGAATTCACTCTTTGATCCATTTCCGGTAGGTTTTGGAAGAGCTGCTTCCGCTTCGAGGGGGAGGGGCCCGGATACATCTCAATGCGCTATGATACCATACGGTATTCTTACGCATACTCGAGTACATTCTACTCGTGCTCCCGGGAATCTCAGGTACATGAGACATGACCCAACACCGAATTGGGCGGACAATTAGGTGAAATAATTGTCAAGACCCTATAACACTACTGTCATACCCGAGGTTGAAAAGTCACTATCTATCGTACAGGGCCCTTCCTGGGGGGGGGGGCATCCAGGACATTTCTGTCTTAACTACTGGTCTACCGTCGCCCGGCCGGGAAATATATGATCCGAAACAAGATGGATGCGTCAATACCCGCATCTGCATCACAACACCACCAGTGGGTAAACTACCGATTGCCAAAAGTGCGAGAGAGGGGTATAGAGAGAATAAAGGGGGAAACCCCTTTTTTCGACAGAATCTAAAGAATACCCGGCTCCCGCTTGCTCTGGGAAGGACCGCTGTGCTAGTACTAGTACTGTACTCGTACAGACAAACGGAGCGAAATAAGAAAAGAGAATCCTGTACTAGTACTGTATGCGTGTATGCAAAAGGTTTCAGTGGGCTCCAGTGGGCTCCTACCGCCAGTGATGGCGTGTCCAACAGAACGCCCACTTTCCAATTTCGACGGTCCAACGCATGAGGCACAAGACACACACGATGGTGAGCTCCTCGGGCACATATCATCATCAACCGCTCACCTACATGCGGCCTATCGCGGCTGACTGGCTGACTGGCTGGCTGGTCAGCCAAAAGGTAGTAGTAAGTGCCCATTCTGGATCTTGGGGCGGCCCTCTGGTAGGTACCGTGCCGGTTACTATAAACACACCAAGGGCAGAGGGGTGTAGCGATCAGTGGATATATTCGGATATCGTACAGATAGGCTCCCGGAAGGCCGGGGCGGGGGGAGGACCAGGAAGTCGGCAAGCCGATATAGCTTGAGTTGCACTCGAAGGTAGCGACAGTAAGTTATGCCAGTGGGACCAACAAGAGTGAGATCCCAACCGCATTTCGAAAGATGCTGTATAATTGTCCACGGCGCTGAACGAATGAAGGAAGGAAGGGAGGAAGGAATGGATGAATGGATACGGTAAGTTAGGCGTGTGGGAACTACCGTACGGTAGCTGACTGACACCACTCTGGCTCCTGCACTTACTCGAGCACACTACCGTACCGTACCGTAACCCTACCCAATAGCGCATATCTCCAAAAAATCCAAGGAAAAAACAGGCGATCCCCTACTGAAGTTCATTATGGCACAAGAGAACCTCTTACCCTCCTCCCTCACCCTTCTTCCCCCCTCGCGACCCTTGGAGCTTCCATGGACCATGATACATACCGTATGATACCGGTACCGCACCTCCCAGCCGCTCACCCTGACACGGTCTGTGCGCCGTGGGGAACGCCCAAAAAGTCCAAGGGAACGCAGCGCCGGATACATAACCTACCTACCTACCTACCGTACTGGCACCTCTTTCACCCAAGGTTTCCCCAGCAAGGTTAAGTTAACTTGACGCTTTTCTTCCTCCCCCGGTGCGGCGCCTCGGTTGCCTTGGATCATAATCTAGTTATCCCAGCCTCGTTCGCATCCCGAACCGCGCTGTGGAAATCCTGTTACCGTACGGTGCAGTAGGTTCATCGCGCTCAATCCGCCTGGGATGCGCTACCATGAGTTACCCTAATTCTCGTACCACCAACCACCAACCACCACCACCACCAACCCCACCAGGAAAAAGCAAACTGAGGAAGAAGAAGAAGAAGAAGGGGGAGGGAGAAAAAGCAAGCATACGCATAGAAAAGGCTGTACTATAGAGTTTTGAGTTTCCCCTCACTTACCACTTAAGTTACCACGTCCTGTATGATATGATATTAGAATACGATGAACTTGCGACTTTCCCCCAACAAAAGCAGGTACGGTTACGATGTATCGTATCGTATGTAGGCAGGTAGGTAGGCAAGTACAGTACAGTAATGCAATGCAATGTGGCAGCGGGGTTTAGACCACTCGTACCGTATCGTGTGCTTGGGGCATGATACTTGCACTAGCACTGTATCATACTCGAGCTCGAGTATGATACTACTTGTACCGGTTACTGCACCGCAGACGATGGCAAGGCGGAAGTGAAAATGAGGCTACGATACCTTTTGCCGCAGCTGACTGACTGACTGACTGACCTACCACACTCGTAAACGAACCGCGGTGGGTTATCAAATATACCTAGGCGCAGTACAGTACTGTACTAGTACCGTACCGTAGTCCATCATCAATCTGCGAGCACGGTGGACCCATCTATCATATCCTAACTTAGACCTATCTAGACTATCCATCTCGTGAAGGACCACATGCAAAAGGATACCATATATACCTGTACTCGACCAGTGCACAGTACTGTACTGTACTCGCACTGCACACAGTCATCACCAAGAAAGGAAAAAGAAAAGAAAAAGAAAAACACAAAAAGAAGCAATGGATGTCAAAAAATAATAATCCAGATTGACACTTCCTTCAAAACACATGCCGGGCCTTAACCACTGCACAGCGTGGCTGAAAAAGAAAAAAAAAAGAAAAAACGGAAAAAAAACAAAACAAAAGATGAACTTCTTGAGCCTACGACCATCCGTCCATCCACCGTATGTACCGTATGTACGAGTACTCTACTGTAGCACACGACCATGTGCTATTATGGCTGTAAGAGAAATGAATCTTCAACCTATGATACTCACTGCAGAGACTTTAATAATACCTTGACTCATTGTATATATATATAAGGAGAAGGGAAAAAAAAAAAAGGAAAAAGGCTCCTATGGACTTTCTCAACTTATGCCATACGGTACCCAACGCTCTTTTTAAAGTCTCCGCAAGACGAGTTCCGTACGGTACCCGTGCGCCCCCAAGTTACAAGTACGGTAGCTCCCGCGAAACCCGGTGCCGTGAAGCCATCAAGCACCGTGCTAGTACTTGTACTTGTACCACAAGTGAATCACCTTTGTTTCCATCTTCCCTTCCCGAGACTCTTTAAAATCGACGCCAGATGGTACCAGTGCCGGTGCCGGTACTTATAATGACGGTTCCATAAAACTGTATGATGCAAACAGGGCGCCGGGATAGGGTGGGGGCGAATCCATTCAATCCTGTGATGGGGTGGTGCAGAGGAGGAAAGTTGCGGTCCAGCACCAAGGTTATCAGAATTACGCGAGGTTGGAGGATATTTCCGGAGCGGAAGGGAAGAGGGGAGGAAGGGAAGAGACTGCATGGAGAGGAAGCGGAACAAAAAGTTATTATATATAACTGATTTGAAAAGGGCAAATAAAAGCAAATGAACAATCAGGTTCCCAGCTTACTCGTACCTTCTTCCACAGGGCGTTCCCTTAAGGTATACGGTAACTTCGGGTTTAGCATCATATCGGTGATGCCCACCTGTTCATTCGCCTTTCTCACCTACCGTATCAACTGCAGCAGGATACCGGTACCAGCGACCTACTGGCAGCGGTGCCGTAGCCAGATCTCGTGCGCGAGGCGGGCGTGTGGGCAAGAGTCGAGAGAAGGGGGCAACACGTTTGGTTGGCTATGGAAAAGGGGGGAAAGAAAGAAAGAAAAAATAAATCAATAAACACCTGCAAGTAAGCTAAGAGACAAGGACTTGTATGAGCCAATTATCAATATGTCGAAAGAGAGATAAAGATGCCAGAAGGAAAGAAGGAAAGAAAGAGTTATGGGCAAGAAAATGATGATAATAGAAAAACCCCTCCAGACAAGAAACCGCAGGAAATATGTATAAAAAAAGGATAAAAAGGGAGGGGGACGATAAAAAATACCGAGGAAAGATTTCGCTTTTTCTTTTTTCCTCCAACCAAAACTTTTTTTCATCTTCACCTCAGAAAGCAGGCCAAGAGGAGAAAAAAAAAGCAGGCGAGAAAAAGACTGATGACTAACTAATGCTTTCCTCTTCCTTCCTCCACCTCTTCCTCTTTCATGGCTTGACCCCCTACCCGTGACAGTTCATCGCTTCTACACCTATCCGGAAAAAAAAAAAGGAAAAAGAACAAAAGGAATAAAGGAAAAACATGCTCAACCGCTGCAACCCTCCTCCCCCCCGCTCATCTTTATACCTCCCCACATGCTGCGAACTTCGTTTGTTTTTTTCAATTCGTATCATGGTCGTAATAACCCCACGGTGGAGGGTTTGTGTATCGGTAAGAGTCGAGAAGGAAATAACGCAACCGGATATAGTAATTGGAAAGCAGAGGATAGTATTATTAAACAGTTGTTTGGAGAACACGAATCAAAACAAAACAAAAAGTTATGCAAAAACAAGCCGAATCAGCCACCTGTAAGAGCGCGGAAAGGTTAGACTTAAGACCCAGAATAAGGAAGAGCATCACAACATACCGCAACAGAAGGCTGCCGACAGCCTCTGCATAAAGCTTCTCTTAGGCTCTGCCGGGTTGTTCCTGGGTTGGTTCTGCTGGTTGTTCAAGACCTGAGGTGAAGGCCCCCTTGTTGTGGGTGGGAGATTCGTGTTCGATGCTTGGAACTGGGCCTGTGTGCTCGCTGTCGGTGTGGCCACCGGCTTCTGCAACCCCCCCGCCTGTCCGCTCGGTCGTTTGGTCGGCATTACGCCTTGAGCGTTTTGCCTGTCGCCGCGCGTCTGAACCATCGGTTTTCCTGGCGATGGTGGCGGGGGATGCGGGGCGTTTAAACGACTCGGGGTGAGCTGCGGAGGCTGACGAACCTGAGCTGGAGAAAGAAGTCGCAGCTCCCCGTTGGCTCCGTGAGTCTGATTATGAGCTGTGTGATAGTTGTGCGAAGAGGGGTGCTTTGAGATGGCCTCCCAACCCTTTCCATTATTAAGCTTCATCCAATCATAATCACCATCCTCAACTTCTCCGGTATTCTTCAGTGCCTGTGTGAAAAGGTCCCGAAGGAAGTCGTAATCGGGCGTATCCTCGAATCCAAGGTTACGTACATAGTTCAAGTACTGGTTGAACTCCTCTAATCGCCAATGTCAGCCGCATGTTGCACGGAATCCTGAAGGAGAAAGGGTCTACCTGGGAATCCGTCGCAAAGTTCCTTAATTGCGGTTGTCTGCTTCTTTTCACCGATCTTTTCATACTTCTGCTTGTTGGTAGCAGCCTTCAGACCTTGCCATGGTAATCCGCCCCGCAAAAAGTACATGAAAACATGCCCTAGCGCTTCCAAATCATCTCTTCGTGACTGCTCTCGTCCAAGATGCGTGTTTATACTCATGTATCTAGCAGTTCCTGAAAGACTCTTGCGCTCTCTGTAGGGAATGTGCTGCTTAGTCTTAGGGTCCCGGTATTGTTTGGCCATACCAAAATCAACCACGTGAATTATATTGGCGGACTTCGTCCCGGGACGTCCAATCAAGAAATTGTCAGGTTTGATGTCGCGATAAATCAGGTTCTTTTCGTGGATGGTTTGAACCCGCGACAACTAGACGAGATGTCAGACACACGTCACAAGGAGATATCCACACGAGACGGACCATTTGCTTAGCCACCATGACAACGGTCTTTATCGAGAATCGCCTGCCACAGTGATCAAATAGATCCTCCAAGCTGGGCCCCAGAAGGTCAATGACCAGGATATTGTGCAGACCCTCCTGTCCGAAATAATAAACATTAGGGATGCCCGCTGGTTGATAATTAGTGCGCGGTAGGAGGCAGAAGCTTTGACAGAGAACTAACGGCAGCCAACCAGAATCTTGTATGTTCTGTATTCGTCTCTCAGCTGAGGAGCATCGCTTTTTCTCGGCTCCTAAGGAATGTCAGCACGCGAACTGTGACGCAGTCCAAGGGCAAATACGTGAGAAACGTACAAACTTGATTGCAACATGCTGATTATTTAGCAGGTTAACTCCTTCAAAAATAACACCAAAGGATCCCTCCCCAATCTTCTTCCCGACCCTGTAGTGTACGCCCACCACATTCGAGGAAGAAGACGACATTGTCGACAATTCTTTTTCTACCCGCTACCCAGAATTATGAAAGGGCTATGTTGTTCGTGGATGTTGTTGAAGCGCAGCTGTAGGCTCCAGGAGGTTGAAATGCTAAGGATATAAGGGGAGGGTCTGGGTTCTGAGGCGATGACAGGACGGGAGTCCGTCAAGCGAAAACTTTGAGGCACGGATTGCCCTTGTCAGCGAGAGGTCATCAAGAAGGATACAGCGGGTAACGGGAGTCAAAGGAAGTGTAAAATCGTAACAGGGGAAGGAATTGTTGTGGGGGGGGGACTATAAAGGGAATGGGTTGTTGTTGGAGAGAGTTTGGAAGAAGTAGCCGATAAAGAGAAAGGGGATGATTACAGTGGATTGGTGAAGGAGGATGGGTGAGTGATTCTTTGAGTAAACTGAGTAAACCAAGGCCCCCCCAGAAGTAGGAAAAAAAAAAATCAATCTATGGGTACCGGCAGCTGTGTAGGGAAGCGTGTTGTCTACGAGAGAACTCGGGAAAGGTTTAAAGGGAATGAAACGATGAAGCCACCGACGGTCACCGTGCTACACGCCACCCCGATAATGCTCCGTATTGCACCGAATCGAAAGGGGCGGTTAATGAAGCGAGGTAATGAGTGAGAAACGGAAGGAAGGAGAGAAGGAGAAAGGGAGGGAGAAAGAGGGAGGGAGAGAGGGAGAGGGAGAGGGAGGGGGGGAGGTGAGAGGAGGTGAGAGGAAGTGAAGGAGAGAAAGGGGAAACAGGAGGAGCAATAGGAAGGAGGCGAGTGAGTGGTGGTATGGTAAGGTAGGTAGGCAGGTAAGTCAGGCAGGTAGGTGAGTGGGTGAATGAGAAGAGAGGGGGGCGAGTCGAAAAAGGATGGATGAGAGAAGAGAGGCTCAGGGTGAGAGAAGCAGAGCAACAAGAGGCAGAGCAACAATAAACCGCAGCGGCAAGCCTCGTT